AAAAAAAAAAAAGAAAAAAAAAGTAATTCACTTTATTTAACATGGGAGATTTAATAAGATCACAACCTGTCTCTTATGGACAATTAATTGTTCCTGTAAATGTTGCAGAAGAAACAATTGAACTTATTGGAGAATTAGGAATAGTTCAATTTGTTGATTTAAATGAAAGAGAATTAACATTTAATAGAAGATTTTGTAATGAACTTAAAAGATGTGATGAGCTTGAAAGAAAAATACGATATTTTAATGAAATGATAACAAAAGAAGAAGAACGTAAAGATATGAATGGATTAAAATTTAGAAGAAATGGAGAATTTCAAAGTTTTGAAAAAGAATCTACTGAAAATCTTGAATTAAAGTTAGATAGTGTAGAAAAAGATTTAAAACAAACAATTAGTGATTGTACTGCAACAGAAAATGATTTAGAAAAAATTGAAGAAGGATTATTAGTATCATCAAATATTGATACATTATTTGAAAATATGGATGATGTTGTTATTGGAGGATTAAAATTTGTTATTGGAGTTATTGAAAAAAGTAAATATGATTCTGTTCAACGATTAATTTGGAGAGTTTCACGAGGACTTGTATTAATTAAGTCAATGGACCTTACTGAAGGATCAACATTAAGAAATTTCTTAGTTGTTTATCAAGGAGATGATCTTGGACTTAAAATCAATAAAATTTGTCAAACATCAGGTGTTAGAGTTTATACTAATATTCCAGTTGATCCACAACAAAGAAGAGAATTTGTTGATGAAGCATTGAGTAATAAACAACAATTAACAGGAATTTTTGAAGGAAGTACTAAAGAAAAAAGAGAATTATTAAAAACTATTGCATTACAAATTGAAGGATGGAAAGATGTTATTGATAGAGAAAGAATGATTTTCTTTACATTAAATATGTTTAAAGTTGATAGAGGAACAACATTAAGAGGAGAATGTTGGTTCCCATCAGAATATTTAGATACTATTGTTACTAAGTTAAGTGAACTTGATCAAAATTCAATGTCACCTATCTTTTCACCAATTCAAGCCCCACCAAAAGCAATAATTCCTACATATAATAAAACTAATTCATTTACACAAACATTCCAAGATCTTACAGATTCATATGGTACACCAAGATATGGAGAAATTAATACAGCATGGTTAAATATTGTTACATTTCCATTTTTATTTGGAATAATGTTTTCTGATGCAGGACATGGTATTTTTATATTTGGTCTTGGACTTCTCTTTATAATCTTTCAAAAGAAATTAAAGAAAGCATCAATAGATGAAATTACATTAATGTTATTTGATGCTAGATGGTTATTACTTGAAATGGGACTTATGGCAATGTATTGTGGTATTGTATTTAATGAATTTTTTGGATTTTCAATAGATATTTTTGGAACATCATGGGATAAAGTAGAAGGTGATGTTTATGCTAGAAGTAATGAAAATTATGTTTATTATTTTGGAGTCGATCCTATTTGGAAATCATCAAATAATGAATTATATTATGTTAATTCATTAAAAATGAAAATATCTATTCTTATTGGTGTATTTCATATGACATTTGGTGTTATATTATCACTTTTTAATCATTTACATGAAAAAAAATGGTTAAATGTATTCTTTAATTGGATTCCAGAAATGATATTCATGATTTGTTCATTTGGATATTTATGTTTCCTTATAATTTTCAAATGGTGTAATCCAGATAAAGATCCAGCCCCAATGTTAACTAATGTATTTCTTGAAATGTTCCAAAACTTTGGAAGAGTTACTGATGAAAATTATATATTTACAGGACAAAAGGTAGTTGAACCTGTATTACTTATTCTTATTGTTATTTCATTATTACTTATGTTTATTCCAAAACCAATATTTTTATATATTAAATTAAGAAAACAACAAAGAGCACAACCAGAAAGTAGACCATTATTAGAACAAGTAGATATTAATGATGGTGAATTAGGAGATTTTAATGATAATCAATATTTATCTGATAATAATACTTTATTAAATAATAATGAAAGAATTAATGAAAATAATACTAAACAAGAAGAAGAAGA